TTTTCCAGGCCAGAGTCCTCGCCTGCTGCATTGTTTCTTACACAGAAGCCATTCCCTAGAAGAGCATCATTGTTGCTCTTCTCTGATGCTTTTTCAGGAGCACTTATAAATTGAACAAACAATAGCAACAACAAAAAAAACCCAAATGTGCACTGTGTATTTGTGCAATGGACAGAGAGAGGAGGGAGAGGGATCTCTTTGGAAATGTTTTCTGTCTAATAGTTGTAATCAAAGGCACATAGTAATTTTTAAAGGAAATTTAGGATTAGCATTATCAGTTATCGTCAAATACCGCTTTAGAGCTTCTAAGTGAAGGAAAACTGCTGTAAAGCTGCAGGGGTAGAAACATCCCCTCAAGCTACGTAATCCATTTGGTGTTCAGCACTGTCAGCCCTATACTTCTGGAAGATATGGAAAATATAAAGACTTCTTTTTTTAATTGCTCTCTAATGATTAGAGACCCAGGATAATTCTCCTTCCAAGAGCTCAAGTTTCTCTTTTAGATTAAAAGTCTACTGGCAGTGATTATTGATATTTAAGATACCTTGATGCAACATGCTGTGGTACCTTTGGGTGTGGTGCAGGCATGACCCACACTCTCAGAGATGGGGAGGGTGTTTGAGCAAGAGGTTCCCAGTCGTTCTGTCCCTAATTTTTATTTATTCTTTTGGTGTGTTAATGCTGTGGCAAAGTTTCTGTGTGCACAGCCATCCATTCTTTCATTATACCCACCTATCCCTTGCAATAAGCCTTGAATCAATGTTCTCAGATACAATTTTGCACGCCTGTTCTTCTGAAAGGGACCTGAAGGTCCACCTCCTTCCCAAAGAGTAGGTGTTTGGCACTTTCTGAAATGAGGCATCTTCAAAGTATTTCAAATCAGGCATCTGAAATGACCGGTCATGTCTGGAAAACTTGAGCTCTGAGCTCTGCGTGTCTCCCCGTGGAAAGGTCAGATCTTGCCGTAGTCAGCTGACATTGCTGGGAGGGTGCAGGCTTTGCAGAGACAAAGCGTACACAGAAGCTGAGCTAGAGCGCTTCTGGGTGAGATGCCTGGCTGGCAGGGATGCTCGATGCTCCTTTCTTGCTCGTAGATTGAATGGAGAGGCATTGAAGTTCTGGCTGTGATATGGCAAGGGACACGTGAACGGCCGGGTGACTGATATTGCATTCTCCCTTGCCTTTCACCTGCCTTTCAGAGCTGCCTCACATGACATTTGCTGTGGCCCTGGAGCCTGCTGGGCGGGCTGGCGTAGGGGAGGCACTGGGACCGGCCATCTGCTAGTGCCCGAGTCCCGCACGGTCCCCTTGCTGCATGACCTTGAGTCTAATCGCCCGGCTGCACTGTCCCCTCTTGCCGCTGCCTCCTCCTCTTTCCCCCACGCACCTCCTGTCTCCCAAACGGAGCCTGGGAGATGGGTAAGCCAGCGGAAGTGTTAAGAGCTGCCTGGCTGTTGTTTGGCTTGCTCTTAGCTCAAAAGACTGGCGACAATAGCCCTCATCTGTAGGGGATAAGGATCAGGGAATGCTGCCTCCCTATCACGGGGGGTTTGCTGCCTTTTGGAAAAAAAAAACAGATGCACAAACCTATCATTTCTTATTAATTTTAAAGTAGCTCTTGGCTCGCTACCTCCTCCGTATCAGCCCTTGCATTGTCAGTAAATTATATTGGATTTGCAATTAAAAGCCAGCTGTGCCAGTGAAGTACCAGCCAAATGCCACCATAACTGTCTCCTGGGCGTCCTAGGGGAGGCGTGGAGCACACAGCTCCTCCTCCAGTGAGCTCTTCTCTCACTTTGAGAGGGAAAGATAAGAGTTTAAAATGGGATCTCAGGCGCATTATTTTTGTTAATCAGAACGCTTGCTCGCTAAGAAATGTAGTTCTTTTTCTTGATACTGCATGTTCGTGGATATAGCAATTCCCAGAGCTTGAAAACTGCCAAACACTCTTCACCGTGCAAAAAGTTAACTGTTTGAGGAGAATATTTGTAGTGGTGGGTGTCTGTCTCAGGCTGATTGGTTTTTCTCCTTCCCTTTCTCAGTTAAAATGATTTATTGGAGAAGTATCTCTGCTTCTGCTGTGCGGGTTTTTAAGTGTTGAAAAGCATCTCTGCCCATCTGTGTTGGAGCAGGTGTTTGCAGCCAGGCAGGGGGAAGAGCACTGCAGATGTGCCGCTCCCTGCCCCTTTGGAGATCCACCCCATTCAACCAACTCCTGAGCCTTCGTGTCACACCTCTCAAAGGCTGAACAGCAACTTGCTGCAAGTTGTAGCAAAACCCCGACTGTTTTGTCTTCCTTCCACGCTGGAGCTGGGCAGGGCTGCTTCTGCACCGGCTTCTTCTGTCCCTCAGCTGCTTGGGCTCCTGGAGCCAGAACAGGCAGCAAGGAGCTCTTCGGCTCTTACCTCTCTCGCTTTTGGCTGGATCAGGAAGGTGCAGCAATCCAGTGCAAGAGGGAATAGGAGAGGAGGAATGTAGAAAGTGGGTCTCTTCCGAACCTGGAGCAGGACTCCAAGTTGTAGGGTTACAGGCAAGATCCCAAAAACCACTGGCAAGGGAAGAAGGAAACCCACATTAGTGCTGGCCACGAGGGAGGTGGGATTTGACATCTACCAAAAGGCTGCGTGCATCAGGGCGCAGAGATCTGTGCTGTGGGTCCCCCAGGTCATGATCTTGCCAGCGAGCTTTGGAAGGGCCAATACGTGTCCCTGATAAAATGATCTTTTTCAACTGGATAGCTGGAAAACTCAAAGAATTCCTATGTAAAAAAAAAAAAACACCCCAGCACTGCATTAAAAGCCTGCAAAACACGGTCGTGCACTCAGCTGAGAAATACCTGAATGAGTGTTGTGTGTGCAACTTTTAATTCCTACTTCTGCATGTTTGCCTTGTGGTGCAATTTTAATTGTGTCATTGCATGCAGGGTATCTGTATGCTGTAGCAAGGCTACATGTGCATACAAAAATTGTATTATTAGCTGTTTTTAGGTGTGCAATAAAGATCTTACCCTTCCTGCTGCTTTAAAAACAGTTCACTTCAAAGGCTGTAGTATTGTCCTTTGGCCTTTACGGGGTGAGAGAAGGGGCTGTCCGCACCTTAAATGCGTTAGTGGTCTCTAGTGGTATCTTTCCCCAGGATGAAGAGATTGGTACAGCAAACAGTGGGGGAGTATTTGCCTCTGTTGTTCCTCTCCCTGTTCATTTCGAATGTGCTAGCTTTCCCTGTCCTCCCCTTAAATCACATTATTTCATAAAGAGTAAAAAGAAACATAATTTGGAGCAGCAGCGAGCTGAGCCCGAGTTAATAGTTTGAATTGCACTCCATCTGTTCAGCTGCATGGCCTGATGGATGTGCTGAACCCATTTTTCACAATTTATTTTAAGCTGGTAAAAACCATCTCTCCTGACTCCAGTCCAGGCTGGCTGTGGAGAAAAAACTTCGTATCTGGACATCCATGTCCAGAGGGTGGGATTGAGTCAGTAATCCCCAGATGCCAGGCTACCTCTTCCACCTGCAAGTTGCTAGTTTTTGAAAGATTAAATTCTCCTCTGGACTTGAACATTGTTGTTGAAAATTAGGGGGGGGACAGAATCCCAATGTACACATGCACCCAGAGGATGAAATTTGCAAACGTGATTATGCAGGACCTGCTTAAAATTGGCTCATTGCTGTTTTATGATGGCAAGCAAGCAGTCACAGAAGCCAAGGTGATTGGCCTCGCCATGTGCACATGCTGCTGGTAACTCAATAACCGATGAACACCCACCGTGGTCTCCAGACCTCGAGCCTTTGATGTAGCAACAAACAAGATAGATTGCTGTAATTTATCTGGCCCCTGGAGGGCTGTGCTGGTAATGTGCCATGAGCCCAAGGGCCAGCCATCCATAATCTGTGTAAAAATACAGCAGATCGCAGTTGCCATGCTGTGGGATTGTCTTTGTTCCATGCTGCAAGAGTTTGCGTGTGTACAATGCACAGTACTGGGTCTCGATTTCCAGCAGCCAGGGGCGGTAAGTCTTAGTGTAATATGCCCACTCTCTCCATTAACTTTAATTGTTTTTGTTATGTACTAAATATACTCCTTTCAAATAGGCTTAGGAAGGCAGTGCCAGAAACGTGGTATTTCCCTGTATGCCTTTACAAGTGTAACAGAGAGACTGGAGGAGACGTGCTGGGTTTGGGGGAAAAAGAACGGGATTTTGTACCAGCCAAAGCCTTCGGCGGGTTTGCTGATGGAGCACGAGTGCTTGTGGCATTGCTGTTGGGTGGCCCGGAAACCCAAGGAGAGGGAGCGTAGCCTCCTGGCTTGCACATGGGCCTCCCTCCTGGTGGAAGACGGTCCTGGTTGGGCTGGG